TTATTTGTGGTTAAGTGTATGATGATTTATAACACACAATGAACACATTGCATCCACTTAAGTTACAATGGATTATATTTCTCATAGTTATAATGTGTTATAGGTCTCATCATATCTTGCCATTGTTTAAGATCTGCACAATAACTTAGTACATCTTAATTATCTTACAAAGTCTTCATGAAAACATTCCAAAAGGCTTTAATGTGGTCTTATTATTTATAAATGATATTTGTCTGCTTTAAGTGAAGTAACTTCACTGTACTTAAAGCAGACAAAGACCACTTATAAATATTTTTTTTTTCAAACAGCCATAAGATCTGATATCAGATCAGATGAATGTGTACACATTTGCTTTGAACTATTTTTATTGTAATATCAATTTGATTATTTTGATGGTAGCCTTTAGACAACTGTTGATAAGTAACTCTGCGACTACATGTCAACTAGCAGTCATTAGAGTATTAGTAGACTGTATGCTAAATATCTGCTAACACTTATATACTTAAATTTGGAGTTGGATGTCAGTAACATGATTCTGTTTCTGTTTGGTTCTCTCTCTCTCTCTCTCTACAACCCCAACAGTGCATAAGTGTTGAATCAGAAATATATATTACAGAGTTCAACATGTTAAAGCAAATTTTTCTTATTTAATTCTCCCTCCCTCCCCCTCTCTTTTTTGTATCTCTCTCAGAAGTTGAAGCCTACAGCCTTTCTGTCCATGCAGCAACTGATGGAAAAGGGGGTCTTTTTATGATGTTGTATTATGTGTTATTGCAAAAATGAGTATATACAGTATATAAATATGCATTCTTGAGTCTTGTGTCTTGCCTCTCTACAAACTTTTAAATATCTGGCTGTAATTTAGTGACTGCAAATGCTGATTTAATTTGATTCCATCTTTATTATACCTGATAATGAGCTAGTTCAACTTAAGGGGGCTATTCTCTCTCTCTCTCTCTCTACAACCCCAACAGTGCATAAGTGTTGAATCAGAAATATATATTACAGAGTTCAACATGTTAAAGCAAATTTTTCTTATTTAATTCTCCCTCCCTCCCCCTCTCTTTTTTGTATCTCTCTCAGAAGTTGAAGCCTACAGCCTTTCTGTCCATGCAGCAACTGATGGAAAAGGGGGTCTTTTTATGATGTTGTATTATGTGTTATTGCAAAAATGAGTATATACAGTATATAAATATGCATTCTTGAGTCTTGTGTCTTGCCTCTCTACAAACTTTTAAATATCTGGCTGTAATTTAGTGACTGCAAATGCTGATTTAATTTGATTCCATCTTTATTATACCTGATAATGAGCTAGTTCAACTTAAGGGGGCTAATCAATATACAGTATATTTCAAGAAACTAAGACTTAAGGTACTCCACTTTTTCAGTTGTTTAAAGACTGAAATACATTTTTCATTTATATTTTAAGTGGAAATTCATTTAAATTTACACACTTTGTAATTAACATCTGATACATTTATAAATCAAAAATCACAATTAAAATAAAAAATAAATGTTCCTGAGATTCAATATCTTTAACAACATGTACAAACATTACTACAAACTAAACCACCAGGGTCCTAGAAATGCGGTCCTGAAACTGCAGCCTCTGCTATATTATTCAATTCGGTAGGTGGCGCTGTTACAAAAGAATAGGGTCCTAGAACTGCGGTCCAGAAAATGCAGCCTCCGGTTGTGCAGGAACACCCTTCTCCTCTCATGCGCGCTCCATGTGTTGTCATATTAAATATTGTTGCGGTCATGTTCACAGAAATTAACTGACAGCGCAAAGCTCTTTCATGAGATTTGAATTCTCCACTGTAAGACGACCTCATGCATAATGCAGTGCAGTGATTGGATCGTAAGAGTTCATTCTCATGAATAATATTGAGAATAGCTTGGAAAACTGATGAGGTAGATGCGCGTACTCATGCCACCACTATTATTATCACTACAGCGATGCCACCACTCCACATTAACGCATATGTCACTTTTCGTGACGTAGGCTCAACTTTTCTTTTTGAACCGGAAGAATTAAATTTGCTCCAAAAAATTGTGCATTGTGACACTTTTGTATATTAAGAGCACCTGGTTAATTAGAAGGTATGTTTGGTGGCAGGAAAGCAAACCGTGATTGAGCGTACAGCTACAGCTACAAGTTATCCTGCTCACTAGCTTATTGTGTCAAATGGCTATATTGTGTTGGACTGAGCTTAACGCATAACCGTGCAAGGAATAATATGGACTATGGACAATGTGTTTGCTATCTGCAATGTATGAAATACACATTTGCTATCTGCAATGTATGAAATACACATTTGTATGTCATGAATTAAAAGGAGCGCTCACAGGAAGCGAATGGCAAGAACTGTTTATTGGTTGAAGCACAATAAAGGACACTGTTAGCATTTTAACATCTGTGTGCATGGATTTAATTTGCACGCGTCAATGACTTGCTCACTTCTACCATCAACATCGGTAGCTTTGTGGAATATTGTGCCGTAATAATGAGTGCTATTGTTGTTTTCACTGATGTGCAACCTGTTCATATATATTAACATCTCAAAAATTGTGTTTTAGGGTTTCACGACCTAGTGCTAGGAGGTATGACCAATAATTTATATCACAGTATTTTTCAACATTATACCGATTTCATGGTACATGACGGTATTTTTTTTTCCATGCATGACTGGGTGTTAACCATATTTTCTACTGATTGAGAGAGGAAATACTGCAGTATATTTACTTATAATGCCCTATTTTACTGTCATGATAAGTGAATATTGTCAAAAAATACCACACTAAATACCCTGATAGCATACACTTCCGGGCCTCATCTGGGCCAAATATGGCACATATGGCTGAGTTCTGGCAATGGCAGAGCTATTGGCATATCAAGCCGGTTTTAGAGTCAGTTGTGGCTTGTTGTATGTGGGCCAGATCTGGGCCATGTGTGACAAACCGGTTTTAGGTTGAGTTCTGGCTTGTTGCTTGCGGGCTAGATGTGGCCCATGTGTGAGAAACCAGTTTTAGGTTGAGTTCTGGCTTGTTGTGTGTGGGCCAGATATGGCCTATACCAGGTGACCAGATTTGCTATTTTCCGGGGACACGTCCTGGCAGATTTCTAAATTGCCTAAAATAACCAGGTGTTGGCTGTTTGCAGACTGTGCAGATCGATCGTTATATGACATTTAAATACCATGAGAGCTATGGAGAGCAGAGCAGATGGCTCCTTATGCTTTCAAATCACTTTGATGTCAAACAACGATCGATCTGTGCAGCGC